CCTTAGGTGGTGGGGGAAGCTTCTAGAAACAATTATTTGGGGTAGAACTAGTAGTCAAATGGAAGGAAAGTTCGTTGATTAGGAAAAGCCTGCATAAATTTTTAAAGGAGTAATTGTGTTTATCTAACTCATGGGAACATTTTAAAAAATGGTAATGGAAACCTTTGATGCCGGTAAAGCTGCTGATGTAGTATACACAGGTTCTAAAAGGCGTTCGATACAATGCCATACAACAGAATCATAAGGAAAGTCATGGAGTAAAAGTGACAGAAGCAACATGGATACAAAATTGGCTAAGTGATAACAGTACTGATCTTTTTGGGCTGTAGAAAGGTTGATAGTCTAGTGTCTCAGAGGCCAGCACTGAGATCTGTCTTTTCTTAATTATATATTAATGATCTAGATCTTGGTGGGCAAAAGAACAATTTCAAAGTTCGCATATGATACAATACTTGGGAGGATAAATTTGGATAAACTGAGGAAGTCAGTGCGGAACTTCAAAAAGGAATAGGTTAGTGGAAGGATGGATACCTCTTGATAGGAAGACCATGGACAGACAACAAGACACTCAGAAGGAGGAAGAGGTCGATACAAAATTCAGGAAGATGGACTGTGAGGCTGTTGAGCAGATTGACATAGGGAGTGAGGTGGTGTTGGAGATTTGGCAGGCTTAAAAGTGGTCAAATCCCCAGGTCTAGTGAATTATATCCCAGGCTGCTGTGGGGGACAAAGGAGGAAATCACAGGGGGAAGAGGGCACAGTCTCACAGTGAAAGGACAACTAAGACATGGAGGAATTTCTTCAGGTGACTCTGTGGAACACACTGTCCACAGTCTTCTGTGGACAGAGATAGATAGGTCCTTGATTAGTAAGGGGATCAAGGATTACAGGGAGAAGGCGGGAAAATGGGGTTGAGAAACGCATCAGCCATGATCGAATGGTGGAACAGACTCAATGGGCTGAATGGCCTATTTCTACTCCTTTATCTTATGGGTCCTGAAGGAACTCGTGATGCTACTGATTGCAAATGTATACAGGGCACGAGTTAAAGAGAGACTGCATAAATTTTGATGATCAACACTGAAGCAGTTCAAGGTGATGTTATGGAAATAGTCAAGCAAAGTCAAAATAAAGAAAAGGTATTTAAAAAGCAGTCATATTGAACTCAAAATACTGTTTCTCTCTCCAAAGATACGGCCAGACCTGCTGAATTTCTGCACTTTCTGCTTTTATTAAAATATATGTCAATATACTTAAAATTGTTACAGATCCTACTGTGAGGCTTTACAAAACATGTGCATCCACTGAATTATTCATTTTATTTTGGTATGTGAAATCTCAGTTTACCTTCTGCCCTTGAATCCACAGTTGAGGCAGAAAACAAATAAGCATCACGCAATACATGACATAGCTACGGACACACAAATCAAATTTTCTAATTTGACATTTTTTTTGGAAAAAGAAGAGGATTTAAAATAATGTTCATTCTGGGTTCATATATTTCTGGCATCATTTAACAGCTTCTTCCAAGTGGTCATTCATTGGATGTAAACTGAGGGACACCTTTCCACCGAGCACCATCCACGCCACCTTCCCCCCACCACCATGCAACTGTTGCTCTCAGAGCGGAGATTATGTCAAACACAAAATTAGGACAACATTCCTCCTCAATGTCACCGCTCACCATTCATGTTGTCATAGCAAATTCCATTCAAAATAAACTGCTAAGGCCCAGTGTGTCAAATTTCAACATTCTAAGTAAACAAAAGGTACTGTAGATATTTCATCCATTTATGTTACAATCCAATAGCGAACTAGCTCTCGGTTGAAAAAGTACAGCGTGAACCTGCTAAATTCCAGTTTAGTCATACAACTGACCCGTACCCAACAATTCAGCTCTCAATCAATTTTGCACTTTGTAAATGCAAGAGCTACAGTGTGTTGCTTTTGATACGGCTCATTGTTAAGTGACTAGGGCACGTGGGAACAGTTCACAATTACACGACTCTAAGGAACTGGCTTCTAAATTTTGAAATTTGTACTGGACATAAGCACAGCAGACAAATGATCTGATTTTCGGGCCAACAGCCATGAACAGTACTTGGAGGCCTGCAATGTACCAATGCTGCTTCCAAAATTCAGTGGCTAGGAACATTGAGCAGTAGATTTATCTGTTAGGTATTATAAAATCCAGTGCACATAATATTCCATCAAACTGGCTTTTTGTTCAAAAACTTAAGTGAACAATATTCTTCCAAGTGATGTAGCAAATGTTATTATTGCCGTCACAGCTAAGTTGCAATGCAGAAAATTTTTCCAAGTTATATTACAGAACTATAGGAAAAATAGACACTATGCCAAGGAACGGCAAGGTCAAGACAGTAGTTTTAATGGCAAGGGTTTAGTTAAAAGCTGAGGAAGAGAGGGACTTTGCTTTATAGAGAAGGAATTCAAAAACCTAGGCAGCTGAAAGAACAGCACAAGATAAATGAAGGGAAGGCACAAGGCCAAAACGAGCAGGCAGTTGTAACATATCAGATCTGAAGGATGATACAGATAAAGGAAGGGATGTAACCATGGATACATTTACAAATTTTAAATTTGAGCTTGTAGGGGAAGGAAATGTATATAAATAGGTTGGCGAGCAACAAGATTTGTTATGAAAACAAAGCTGTTGGACAGGCTCAGCAAGTTCTGAGGAAGGGTCACCAGACCCGAAGCGCTAACTCTGCTTTTTTCCTTCACAGATGCTGCCAGACTTGCTGAGCTTTTCTAGCAACTTTGTTTTTGTTCCTGATTTACAGTATCCGCAGTTCTTTTGGTATTTAAGATTTGTTCTGATTTTGGGTAATGTCATCTTGGAGATTGAAGTTCAAGACATTGGCATGGTAGATTTTATTGTTGAAAGCCTAACTGTATTCAAAAACTATCTTTGCAGTTAAAAAAGCATAATTCAAGATACCATGCATTTTAGTCAAAGCAATTGGAACAAAAGATGAAGGATATTCATGCAGAGTACAAACCATGCAAACCTGAGATTGAAAATCCATTGGAAATAAATCAACTAATCACATTGTAATTATTTGTTTCATCTTTGCAATATTTACATGATTTTCACTGCAATGATAAAGGCTACAAGCTAATTCACATCCTTTCCACAAAAAAAAAACGAAACCCTGGCCAAAGGTTTCAGCCATTCTTCCACGCCAAAATTTTCTCGTGCTGAATACCATAACACTGAAATGATTTGGGGTTACAATGAAAAATAACAGCTCAATACTTAAAAGTATATAATGAAAAATTTATGCTTTGTTACTTTCAAAGTAAATCTAACCTATAATTAATAGTAGTAATCAGTACATGTTAAGGTTTATCACTACAGATTATTGGCAAGCTTATATCTTACGTAATTTTGTAGATTTAAGGAATCTGAGGAAATTCGTCTAAACCCAATTCAATTTTGGTGGAGTTGTATGGCTGAGTACAAAACCAGGCTGACTATCACAACATTTAAATAAGTCTGTAAAATCTGAAGATATTCTAATGCCCAAACAAAATAAATTTTCTAGCATTTCAAGTTGCAAAGAATAAATGCAAAACTGAGAAATCCAAGTTTATCAAAGATTTGCAACTTTAAGATCCTAACTACACCTGTGGAAGGGAAGAATGAATGATTTACTTATGAATGATTCACATTGTCACTTGTATTTAAACTACAGTGAAAAGTTTCAGTAACCAAAATCTGGTACCATTTTTAATAGTTTATGAGTAAAAGGATAAAAGATATAACTGAAAGAGTCTTGAACCTTGACCAGCTCATCAATAACAATGGCATTCTAGAGTTGCACTAATATACATCATTTGTAAACTGCTGAGAACAAATTACTTTTGTCATTTTATATAACAAACAAATAGAAACAAATTCAGTAATTTTGAAGTGGGTCACCTCCCAGTCTCATTTTAACTTTCGCCCCAACCCGGTTGCCATTACTCTTTAAGCATCCAACCAACGCCTTAAAACACCGTGACCAAGAAAAGCAGGAAAGTGACCTGTGCCTCGGCCTTTGTTGATGTAGCATTCAAGCTGACTATTCGTAGTCATGGAAGAACAATATGGATCGATTTACGTTTAGAGGAAGGCATTCAGGGCGAGCCCACAGTCTCGGTAATTTAGATTGCTAATACTACTGGGGAAACTAATATACCACCAGATTTTTTGTAGTGTAATCTACAAATGCGTGGCTTGGACTGTTCTTTGATTTATTTAATTGAAACTAAAACCAAAGGAAAAATTTTCCTTCCTAATCCGTGAAAGTGAAAAACTATGATCTTGTCAACTGTAAATGCCTGTGCAAAGATTTTTTAAATAATAAACCCCATACGTGTTTACTAGAAGCAATTATTTCTACACATAACGCAACACATGTTTAAAAGGAAATTAATAACCCAAATCTTTCTCGTCCTTCCGCCTTTCTGAAACGATATCAATGAGAACGATGGGCAAGAAGCAGAGTCACAATGTGACCATCCTTACTCCGTTGATAAAGCTTTTCAATTCTCAGTTTATATCTGATGCGCCAGACCTAGACGCTGAACACGAGTCACAACAGCGGCACAAAGTTGATGTTTGACCAATTGTTTTGTTTACCCAAAGGACCATGCAATGCAAAATTACCTCCACAAGAGACACATACACAAAACGTGGCATGACCTAAGACCATATCGGCAACTGTTTATCTAAAGTTTGTTATTTTTAAGAATGCGAACAAACGCGTGTGGTTTCAGAAAACTCTACGTTGCAGAGAACCAGCCCAGTTACTGCTTGCGAAGTGCTTCAAGTCGGCTACACACAAACCGACACTAGCTTTCTTTACTTAGAAAGCGACACTATTTTTAAAAGGACGAAAGCTCAGTCGAAGTTGTGCTGCAACCGCCGACCCTTAAGGAAAACATTTTTAGAGGAAAAAAATGTAAAAAGCGGGCGCTGATATATGACTTACCGGAAAAGTATACAGGAAACGTGCAGCCTGCCCCTACTGCAGCTCTGCCTCTCGCAACAAGTCCCACAACCACGTACTGGCAGTATGGCGGCCAAGGTTGGACTGGGGTTAACTGCAGCCCCTTATCAGAGCTCCACCACAGGCCCCGAGCCCCTCTCCAACTCGCTTCCCTTTTCCCACAGTAGGGATAAAGTAGCAGCTGGGAGACCTCCCACAGCTGGATTTACCACTTACAACTGATCTGATCAATCTCGCAGTCCTCTACAAAACATCCCCCCCCCCAACTCCTTTCACTTCTGTTAATGTTTGCTGCTTAAGCGTAAATGTGCCATGCGACGGAGAATTTTTATTAACAAACGAGTGAGTTATTTTCAATTTCGTCGTTTCGTTTGTATTTTGACCTCTGATTTTAAACATCATACATATGTTTTACCTACTAAGGTAGAGCAAAAGACTCCCGGGAACCTCTTGCAATGTTAGATTAATGATTTAGTTTCCTATTGAGTACATTAGCAGTGACTCAAATGAGTAGTTTTCAGTTCGTAATACTGAGCTCATGTTGCACGCTGCCTATATTTTGCTACATGCGAAAGTTCACCCAATACTACACACGTGTAAAGTTCTGTACTCATCCTTAATAAAAAGAATTCTCTGGGGCCGGATTTGATTCCACATCTCTGTCACTTCGGTCTCACAGCTACAGACGAGTAACATTATAATTGCGACCGCACACAGTAGGCTCTTTGTCAATTAAGTTGAGAGCAGAATTGCATTTCTTAAGAAATCTAGAAATAAAATTCAATGAACAGCCGAGGCCATAACCAAAGTTAAAACGTCTGTTCAAAAACAGAAGTTGCTGGAAAAGCTCAGCAGATCTGGCAGCATCGGTGAAGAAAACTCATTTCGGGTTCAGTGACCCTTAGAACCGATGGTAGCTAGGAAAGTGTTGGTTTATATGCAGCGCATAGGGTGGGGATGGGGGGGCGGGGGTAAGGTGTAAACACTAGGTGGGGGTGGAGCCCAAAGAGAGACAACAGTAGTTGGATAAACAAAGGGGGTGATAACGATCTGGCTCGTAGCGTGAATAGCTGTTAATGGGGAATGTTAGCGACTAACAATAGGTAGTGTGTAATGTCAGTCTATGTGATGGCAAAGCCTGGTGTGTGAAGTAGGGTTTAGGACATGGGAGATTTTAGGCTCTAAAATTATTGAACTTGATATTGAGTCTGAAGAGCTGCAGGGTCCCCAAGCGGAAAATTAGATGTTGATGTTAGATGTTGGCCAGGGAACAGGGTTAGTAGGAACTGCAGATGCTGG